CCAAGGGTTTAAAGGTGGGATTAGGGATAACGAAACTTTGGGTGCGATCTAAGTGAACTGTAATTAAAGTCAGCTAGCATAACTCGGGAGAGTATGTCTAGTAAATTGTCTTAATTACTCGGAAGAGAATTACAACAAGCAGAGCGCTCATAATCGGTAGAGAATACTTAGGCGAAATTATAGAAGACATAGCGGGAAGGATTCCGACAATTGGGGAAATCATAACTCTAGACCTCCTTAATCTTTTCTCTAACCCTTAGTATCTTTAGTTGTTAATTTACTATTTTAATTTATAAGTTAATTAGTTAAACACAAAAATCTAAATATCTATAAGTTAAGAATTGTTCAAGCTTGTCTTCTTGGTGATAGTGAACATCTTTAGCTAAACCTTAATTTTCTGTGGGATTCGATTCCGGACTTGTAAACCGGATTATATTTGCAACGACCGCTTAGTCCTTTTTATAAGGCATAGTTAGGCGTGATCAACGCCCTATATGTCTGGCGGTGCGACCTAAAAATACCTAACATACTTGTTATAAGATAGTTTGTTATTTTAGAGTTGAGAAGTGGGATTGCTCCACATCGGAAGAGAGAAGGCTCTTTTGAAGCTTTTTAAGCACTTGTCACTTTCATATCTTTGATTTACGACACATACTTTTAAGTGTGTGCAATTAAGTACACAATATATTTATATATTATATTATATAATCAAAGACTTGGACTTGTCGGATCTTAAAGTTAATTATTTTATTTTGTGACAGAAAAATCAATTTATTTGAATTTTAAATTCAAAATTCGAATAAACAGTTGTCTGTTATGAAAGGGTCTGTCCAGATATGTTTGTTTGTGAAATAAGACATCTTTTCAAAAAGGGTCTGTTGGTTGCCTATAAATACACATGAATTCCCAACGAAGTGGCATAGAAAATCACAAATATTATTGCAGGTTTTGTTGTATCCTGAAAAGAATCGTTTTGTATTTTCCTAAATTAGTATACATGCGATAACTCTTTAAGGACAGTCAATTTTCACGCCTCAAAGCTATTTTTGTTTATTATTTTCTAACAGATGTTTGCAGAAGCTGATTATTTTTTTACCTTATCAACGAGGCATGTGCAATTTTTTCCATTCTATACTCTATGTGCTAAGAAAATATATAGAATGAGTGAATACAGAGAGTATATATCACTCTTTCTATATATTTTCTTAGTACATAGAGCATAGAATGAAAAAATTATATACTCCATAGTAATGTGAGACAATCGGGATCACATAACGGGGAACAAGGAGGATTAAAGTAATTGACTGTGAATAAAGGATGTAATTATATCAGAAATTTAATATTTTATTACATATTATACAGGATATCTGTAATTAAACATTGTCTATGGAGAAAAAAATTTACATCAAGCTAAAAATATAATTTTTGGGCATATAGCTTGAAAATAAACTATGCAAATTGATAAATTATACCACGAGTGAAGTCTAAATACTAAAACATGTATAGTGCGCGACTTTAACACTCATGGTTAACCAAACATATGCAACCCTGTGGATAATCAATCTCAGAATAAATTTTAAATAATATTACCAATCAAATACAGAATAAATTTAATTCCAAATTTATACCGAAATTTTCCACCTAATCCACTAACAAAAACGCCCTAGAATGTATTAGAGGACCTAACCCCGCAGACATAGCAGTTTATATAGCATCAGAATTTAGGAGAACCTATAGAAATCCAATTTCTTCAGCTCAATGGTGACTGACTTTGAACTAATTTGGGGTATATTGATGATGTCCATCTCATTGAAGAAGTATTAGGCATGTGCCTAATAAGAGTTTTCTTTGGTTTGGTAGCCAACCTTGTTGACTTGGTTTGGTTGGTAGCCAACCTTGTTGAATTTCTTTGGTTTGGTAGCCAACTTTGTTGAATTGTGAAAAGTGTGTGTAAATTGTCAAATATTGTAGGCTTTAGAGGGTGAAGCTTTGGCTATAAAAGGAGAGCTTCAACTCTCATTTCTTCACACCAACAAAGAGAGAAAGAAAGAGTGAGGTTTCACAGACAAGGTATAAGAAAATAGTCTGTGAGGAAAATAGAGAGTGAGCGATATTGTAGTGAGGTGGGAATATCAAAAGAGGGTTATTTCTTTTGAGTGTTGTAGTGGTCTTTGGAGTATTTACCTCCGACCTACAAAGTGTAAAATTCCTTACTATAGTGATATCAGTTGCTCCTCTCGGGGTCGTGGTTTTTTCCCTTATTCAGAAGGGTTTTCCACGTAAAAATTTTGGTGTCATTGTTACTCTTTTATTCTTGTTAATTACCGTATCTCGGTGCTACATTATTATTCCGCTTTATTACCGTGAATATTATTTTGGTAAGGGGTTTATTCCCAACATATATCACTTTTAACCTCCGTCAGAAACTATTTATATTTGATAGTCGAAAAAGTGTATAAAACTTGTATAATTTTTGTATATAACATACAAAATATATAATTATACAAAAAATATACAAATTTTATATATTATTTCGACTATTATTTTTACAGCGGCTATATAATGTCATTTAACCAACTAATTTGGCAAGAAGACAAATGGATACGAGTTTAATCTAGGTATGGGCCTCCCAGCCAGCATTTTGTCGTAAAAATTGCACGGGGCGTCCTATTTGGTCGCCCCCATTTAATCTATACCTATTTTTTTTTTAAACTTTTAACTTGTACCCACTTTTTAAATAATTTCAGCCTCTTTACAAAAGCTAAAAAAACGATGAATTATACAAAAAGACGCACTGCATCTTTAGCAGAGACTATAACGAGGAGCAGAACGTCAACAGAAGTCTACATACAGAAGTGGAATAAGCCAGAAATACATTAACACATGTACATATTCAACATATTCTTATAGATATATGTCCTTATTCCCACTGGCACACAATTTTCTGAGTGTTCTTGAAATTGAAGTTAATTAACAAACTCCCATCTATTCTCATAAACACAAAGCTGAAGTTACAAAACAAAATTCGTCAGTTACAAAACAAAAACTCCCCAGTTACAAAACAAAATTTTCAGCTCTAGAGCTGAAGTTTGCCAGTTACAAAAACAAAAACTTAAGCAATTACAAACAAAAACTTCAGCAAATAAAGAACAAAACTTCAGCACACCTGCTACTTCAGACCCGTCTACTAGAATGCTGAAGTTTTGCATGATTGCCTTTGCTACTTCAGCCCCGTATGCTGAAGTTATGCGAAAAAACGGGTACGCTTGCAATTTTTTTTACAAAGCGGGCACAAGTTAAAACGTGATACTAAAAGCGAGTATAGATACAAATTCTCCCATTTCGTTTTGTTTGAGCTAATTATGGGCTAAGCCTAAGAAATGAGAATCTATAAAGAAGGTCCAATTCACCCACGTTTTCAGAGTTTTCACCTCAGCATTTTTATAGAAATGACACTAGGTAGCCACTTTAAATGGCTGTTATTTAGGAATTAGTCAGTATATTCTAAATTTTAGTATGGTTCTGAAGTTAGAATTTTTAATTTAAAATTTCAGAATAAAATAAGTACTCACAAACATCCCTCGTAATGGCTATCGGCACACTTGCCCCAACATTTTTTGAGGTTTAATTAACGACCATGTCAACGCCACGACAAGAGACTATAACTTTTGCATATCATCTTCTCGATTCTTTTTCCCTTTGCGCTGATGTCATATAAAATAATAAATCCTATATATAAGTATTTCTATCCAAGAGTTGACCTTCTCCTAATAAAAAAAGTAGGCACAAACGTCAGCCGTAAGCTGTTGTTTTGCTGGTTCATACTCAGCTATTAATCTAGATATCTCAGTTTTTCTACCAAAAAAAAAAAAGAAAAAAAGGACACAATCAGAAAAAGATGCACTTTACCTTTTACCAGGACTTGCATTTGGGAGTTTGTATATATAGTAAAAAATCTAGGTGATGAAAAGTTAACGAGAAACAGATAATCTTCCGTACGGATATCTGAAAAGCCGCTGATGATATGAATTCCAACACAAGAAAATGAATAAAATAATCTTGAGGAACCTTTTACTCATGGTATATGGTAAACAATAAATTTGAGGATAGATCAATATCATCAGCTGATGTGCAACTGCTGGAGGTTCTGTCTTTTTATTAAATTTATATAAACTTACTTCATAATTGTTGCCATATTTAGCGCTGAGTAACCCGACTTTCTAGCCTAGGTAACTGTGAATATACTAATATCGATACAAGGAGTAAACCTCGTTAGCCCATCGAATAAGAAGACTAAGATAAAAATAAGTAAATTTAGGATCACGCTTCAATCTTCTTTCATCCCAAGGAAAGTTAAAATCAAACAAAAAATATTAGGAGTATAATGTTTGTTTAAATCACGTGATGAGGCCAACTAGTAGATGCCATAATAATGATGAGACCATAATGTAACTCAATTATATATAGTCTCTACATACGATTAGCGATTTCGCATATAACTAAACCCCACCTTCTGCATCATCTCAAACAATTGATATTTATTGATTTGGGTCTTTACAAACCATTAGGGGACAAACATCTTAAGCCAAATAATACGCTTTAATATATTCATAAGAAACGTGTCGCAAGATCGCAGTTGGATATTATTTCGAACAAACTAGAAATTCAAACTGCACACAAAAATATTCATCTAAACAAAGGTCAACTTCTAATTAAGCTCTTGTCCAAACAAGTACTTCATTCCCAAAATTACAATTTGTAAATTAAACCGTCACAAACTTACCCTTTGAATACGGCTTAGAGCCAATTCACCCATCTAGATGTTACTATTTTATTATAAACTTATATTAGAAAATGACACTATCTTATTGTTCCCATCCCTTGTGGAGCTTTGAGAGCTAACTGCCAGTTGGGTTTTGTGTTTGACTTCTTCTTTTTAAACTTTATTTGAGAAATAGCCTCTTCTTGAGTGCAATATCAAGAAATCTATATAAAGCAACCTATCTTCCTCTAAACACCATCAGTGGGATATTACAATCAGTTTCTTTACCTTTCAGTTTTCTTTCTCTACCTTGTTTACAAAGAAGTTAAGAGACAGTGAGAATGGCAAGTACTCGTGCTATTTTTGTGGCTTCACTTGTCATAGCTTGCTTTATAGCTTCTTGTCACGCTGAAATATTGTTCTCTTCCCTCAAAAGGAGTCTTGATGTTTCTGCTTCACACAGGGAAGGAGGTATGATTAACAGTTAACCCCTCCCTCTCCAACTTTTTTTTTTCCTGTTAAACAAGAAAGAAAAGAAGATTATAATATAGGAATTTAGATTATTGATTACTGGGGTGCGATCGATTTTATCTTTTCTTTTACGATTTGAGAAATATAAATTAGTCTCGCATGTAGCTGCATCTTAAATCTCTATCACTATTTCCCTAAAATAAGAATCCAAGGTTAGTTTTTTTGAAAATAGAATATGTCCATGATTCTTACAAGTTACAGGAGGTCTTTTTTTAATTAAGATCTTGTTTCTTTTGTAACATCTTTCTTATTAGCAGTAAGTCTTGGGGGTATTATTTTGGAAATAGCAACATGTCTAATAAAAGCTACAGTACTATTGATCATCTCTAAGCAATGAGGGGAATATTCTATTGCGATGGTTACATAAATAGCCGGCCATATTCAATGTTTATTTTTTCTGGCCGGTATATATAGATTATACATTAATTATCCATATGTTATACACAAATTATACATATATTATACATTCCTCAGATTATTTTTAGTTTAAAAGATTAGGTGGGCGGCTATTTGGATTAATTCTTTTGGTCTTGTCTTGTCTTCTTGTAATTATCGGTTACTCTTCCTTTTCTTTCTTCATGTAATTAAAGCTATTAAATGAACGGCGTGATAGAGCTAATTGTTTGATCAGGAAATTAGATGTACATATATTAGTATAGTCATCATAGAAATGAAAACAATCTTCTCTTTTCTTTTGCATTTTGGACAAAAGAAAGTTTTAATTAAATTAGAAGAATTATATGAGTAGAATTTAAGTTCTTTGCAATAACAGGGTAAAAATATTTATATAATGAGATCACTTAAAAAGTAACTACATGTAATTTCATTTAATAAGCATTAGTTGGTAACTCATTGTATATAGTAAATAACCATATTACTGGTTAAAATGCACTGACGGTGAACGCACATAACTTAAATCCATATGTCTTACATCCAGATGACTAATATTTGATATATTTTTCAGTGCTCATGGCTGGGGAAGACCAACTCATATTGAAATGGTCATTCAACAAGACTTTCCCAGCAGGGGCAGACTCAAGCTACAAGAAAGTAAAAGTTCAACTGTGTTATGCACCGGTTAGCCAAAAAGATCGTGCATGGAGGAAAACTGAGGACCATCTCAAAAAGGACAAGACATGTCAATTCAACATAGTAACCATGCCCTACAAATCATCTGGAAACAGTTTCAACTGGGCAATTGAAAGGGATGTCCCAACTGGTACCTACTTTGTTAGGGCTTATGTCTTGGATTCTGATGGTCATGAAACTGGATTTGGACAAAACACCGATGATAAGAAAATAGATAACCTTTTCGATATTCAGGCTATCAGTGGTCGCCATGCCACTTTGGATATCTGCTCCATTGTCTTCTCCGTTTTCTCTGTGGTGTCTCTCTTTGGATTCTTTTACATGGAGAAGAGAAAGGCTAAGGCAAGTCAACAGAAGTGATCATATGGATCCACATGATGATCAAATGGTGTGGACGGAAATTAAAAATAATCTCCTTTATTTTCTATATCGTACACTTTAAGATTATTGTATTAAGTTTAATACAAGTTTGATGACTCATGCATGACATAATATCGTTTACGTTCTTGTTTAATTTAATGTATTTTTTGTTGGTGATTAAAGTTTGTTTATCAGTTTTTGGCCAAGTGTGTATTTGCATTTGTTTTTTTTCACCGTTGATCACGTAACACATATTATTAATTGTTTTATTTTGTGATGGTTTGATGACTTTTTTGTTTTTCCTTAATTTTTTCTCACTTTATAATTTTGTCAACTTTCCGAGTCGAAATGACGCACATGATAAAAGTCGTCCGAAGATGAGGGGTGCCTTATTTAAAGATCCTGGATTTTTGCAGTAAAGTAGAAGTAACCATTAATTAGTGTTAAGAGAGATTATAGAACTTTTTCTGCGTACTGATCTTTTTTTCTTAACCCAAAAGCCTTCATATAGGCCAAGGCTCATTTGACTTTAGATACTTATTCCAAAGAATCAACAACTAATTAGAAGTTTTCTAGTGCATTAAATAAACTGGTTTTCGACCAGGCCTTATCCTTTTAGGTTGGAGCTAGTCTGTTTAAATTAAATTTCTACAATTTTCTACTGTCACGATTCTAGCTAAGACTTGGTAAACTTCTTCTAATGCATACAGCTATTTTCATGCAAGAACAAATGACTAATAAAGTGTAGATTGAAAGTCCATATTATGCAATTACTATTGGTTGAGTACAAATATCATATGCGTGTTATCTTTGCAAATTCCATACACAGTAAATTGGCCCCAATATGACTATTGAGTAATTTAATAGTGATTAGGAATGAAAATGTTGGCCTGTTTCGGTAGAAGATGTAAACCATACGGATTAAACATGCGCCTTTCAATTTTTATATGCTTAAATTAACCATGACAAAGCAGAAATACGTGATGTCTCTAAAGTCGCAGATGAAATGAAAGCTCTTCCTCGTAAGGTAATATCAACCTATTAAAGAAAACAATATTGACTGCAAAAAGATATAATCAAGTGAAACTTCTTGCCCTTAATCTGCACCCATTTTTTTTTTTATATTTATAATTTTCAATTTTCAATCAGGAAAACTGATATATATTCTCCTTTATTTAAGGTTCTACTTATATTTCTATCTATAAGCCTCAGTAGAATTAACAAGAATAGGAGCTAGGTTTGGAAGTTTGATTTTTTTTTTTTTATTTCCTTTATAAGAAAAAAAATTAGGAAGATGAAGTTAAGTCATTTGAGTATTGAAAACCTGCACGGTTACTGTGAGCTTTTGAAAAAAGGATTAAAATACATTCATCTCTACGAGGAAAGAGCAAGCTAATAATTAATATGGTCAACCATGGAACTCAATAAAGGAGAAATTCATTTCGAGACGTGACGGCAACTTGTTCATAAATATCTTTCCATCTATATTTGTTGATTAGTTTGCCCTCTCCTTAGTGGGCGTTTGGACATAAGAATGGTAAAATTCCAGAAAAAAATGGGGAAAAAATTCAAGTGAAAATGGTGTTTGAAAATTAGAGTTGTGTTTGGTCATCAATATAATTTTGGATTGTTTTGAATTTTTATGGGTGATCTGAGTGAAAATTTGGAAACACAGATTTCGAAAAAAGTAAAAAAAATTCGAAAAAAGCGAAAAAATTTTCATAGCCAAACGGGCTCTTAATCTCAAATTCTCATTAGATTCTTTTAATCAGATATAATTAAAATAGTTGATACACGGAGTCGAAGTTGAAGATTCTTTTAATCTTCCCACAAATCACAATCATCATCAGATAGTGAAAGATTCCAACCCTTCCAAAATTTCTAGGAATAATATCTATCTAGTGGAATCGGGCCCAAAATTAATTGTGGGATTCAAATGGCACAACTTACAGAATTTAATAATCATTCACGGTAGGAGTAAAAAAGTGAATTAGATGAACAAATAGGTAATTGGCATAAGAGAACAAATAATTATTTTTGTCAATGATGAATCGAGGAATACAATACCAACAACAGCTTAATTAACATATAGTATAGTACGTACTAGTAAGTATCCACTTGTATATTTACCATCAAGAAAAAGGCAGCAACTTGTATGGTTAACGAGTTCTCCCTGTATGCTAAAGCGTAATATATAGCCAAACAAATCATACTAGTATATCATTTTAATCAAAGTTCCAACTTAGTTCTATCTTCACTCGAGTTGATCCTCTTAACCTGGAATTAAGAATTCGATGGATCAAGAATTTAGTGATGGAGAATTTCATTTGGAGACACGATGCAAAGTGTTCATTACACAATGCAATCCAATTTTGTTATTCCCTCATATCCACTTTAATTGATTTTTTTGCTGACTTTATATATATTAAGGAATCCATCTTTTAGCATTAATTAACAATGAAATTGATCATATTAACCTCAATTTATTCATTAAAAATATAACAAACACTACTAGACTCTTTTACTCCTAGGCCAACTTTGAAAAAGAGAAGTTAATTCCTTCTTGATATCAGGAAAAATCAAATATTGTGGATCGCGAAAAAAATATAAAAAAAATCAATTAAATTGAACCGAAAGAAGTAATAATTAGTAATGCCCTTTCCTTAATCTAAAATACAAAAGTCATCTTTTGCCTTGCATAATTTAGAGACAAGAGGCCAACTTGTTGATCATAACACCTTCCAGGTCAAGTTTGTTAGTAGTATTTAATAGACCATTTCTTTAATTTGCAAATTCATCTTTTGTCTTATTGCAAGACACATCTAGGAGACATAATTAATTAAATATGGTGTCGAAAAACCTGGTTGACTAAATTAAAGTTGAAGATTCCTTGAAATCTTCCCACAATCATCATCACAGTGAGATATTCTAGCCCTAAGGAATAGTACGGCCAAGGTGTGGAATTTAACCATTATCTTCGTATTTAGAAATTGAAACACATTACTAATCCATTAAAGATTAGACCACGAACTTGTTGTCTTGTTCACATGTAGTGCTAATGTACCATCTAATTAACGAACACCACAAAAAAGAATAAAAATAAAAATAAAAATAGTTTATCACTGCAATCAAGAACTTTGGTGAATTAAGTAGTTGGGTGGTGTTGACTAGTCTTTGCTCTCCTTTAGAACTCGAGTGGTTTGATAAATATCAAATCACGTTTGTTTTGTCACCTATAAATTAGTGGGTTCACATATAGTAATAGTAGTATCTTTTAATTTAATTTCACCTCCACTCAATCTCTCCTCCTCATACTTTGGAAGTGCAAAACAAAACAATATCATGGCAACTTTTCTGGCTTTTTTGTTGCCTCAACGGTTGTTCTTTTTTGCTTTGCACTCACTGCTTATAGTGCTCTTTTCTCCTCCCTTCACCAAACTCTCATACTCAATTCTTCACCTTCACAAGGACAAGGTAAGTTTTTTGTCTTTTATCTGAACAATCTCTTTACTTTTTCATCCTTTTTCCACGTCTTGGTAATAGATCTGATCCAAAAAAAAATATGGCTTCATTGAAATATCATTTGCCAAGTTGACTCTCACTTGTAATAAAAATATGGCTTCGCTGTCCACCTCTAATTAATGAATTTAATTATATACTCCGATCCACATGTACGTCCCCCTTTCCGCAGAATATGAAAATGATTAATGAATTTAATTTCATGTTCCCTCCGCTTCACTTTAATTAATTTTTGGTTGTTTTCACATGTATCTTTTACTGTTAATTAACAATAAAATAGATCATATTAACCTTAATTTGTTCATTGGAAATATAATACATACACAACTTTTTATCACATGGGCAACTTTGAAAAAAAGAACTTAATTCCTTCTTGATATATGAAAAAATCAAATATTGCGGATCATAAAGAAAAAATCAAAAAATCAATTAAAGTGGACCGGAGGGAGTATTTGAGTATATTACTTTAGTTTGAAGGGCTAAATTAATGGGTGTTAAAATTGATTGTATATATATATATATATATATATATATATATATATGTATGTATGTACAGTGCTGCAAGCTGGGGAAGGACAAGTGACAATAACATGGTCATTGAACAAGAGCAACCCAGCTGGAACAGACTCAAACTACAAAACAGTGAAGGTGAAATTATGTTATGCCCCAATCAGCCAAGTGGACAGAGGATAGAGGAAATCCGACGACAACCTCGAAAAAGACAAGTCTTGCAAATATAACATTGTCACAATGCCATACAATTCCTTAAACAACAATTTCACGTGGACTGTAAACAAGGATGTTCCCACTGCTACCTATTTCATAAGGGCATATGTTTATGACTCTGCTGGTGAAGAGGTTGCCTATGGCCAAACCACTGATTCCCACAAGAAAACCAACTTGTTCCAAATTTTGGCAATCACTGGCCGCCATGTTACTCTTGACATCTGTGCCGCCTGCTTCTCCACTTTCTCCATTATCTCCCTTTTCGGGTTCTTCTTTATTGAGAAGAGAAAGGGCAAAAGTGTCCACAAAAAATGATCACCCTATATTTATTTACTGTTCCATTATCGTATTCTATAGCTGTGTAAAATAAGTACTACTATAGTTACTGCTTTCATTAATTGAGGCAGCTAAATGTGACGATGAGAATCTAGAAAAGTATGCATTGGTAGGTTTGGTTGTGTAACGTAACATTTGGGGGTTAGCTATATGAAAACGATAGGCTTGGAAAAAAGTTTGAGGCAATGACATTCAGTTGATAGTAACTATGTGTTCACTGTGCAGTTGATAGTAACTATGTGTTCACACCATAGTGACACGTATGTAATACTCCTTAAATTTATAAATATTTCGAGATACGTTAATTATAGAATTAAATTATTATTATTTTTTCTTGCTTACAGTGGAAATATATATATATNTTAATATTGTTAATTATTAAAAATGGATATTATTAAATACTAGTTAAGTTAAAATAAAAAAAAAAACAAAAAAAAAGAGGGAAAAAGGACCCTAAGCCCATAGAATGGGCTATTGGGAAACAAAGGCATTAAACCTTAGGAAAATAACAGAATCTTGGTTCTGTCATTCACGTAAAAAAGGGCAAAAGGCAAAAGCGTCTTCTGTTCACTCATGAAACAGAGAGCCATGCAATAGAAAATTTAGGGTACTTTACAAATCACTA